GAGCAACAGTTGTGTTTTCATCGGTGCCCAATGCATCAAAATAGCTACAAAAGGCTACAAAATTGATCACTCCAATAAGGCTTTACGGTGTTGGCCACATTGAAGGGACACAGCAGTGTCAACCTTGCCACAGATATACTAGTTGTTAGTGGACTTTGACACATTGAGAGGGAAGAATGGTTCTCAAGTTCAGAGCTAACACACCTTCGCCTTGGTGACAATACGATCAACTAAAGAAATACAACTGCTTTTGGGTCAGCCAAATGGGAGACCCTTCATGAAGCTCTGAGCTATGCAGTCAGATAACTAAGCAAAGAAGGACATTAAGTTGTGTTGATGGGAGCAGGAGTTACAAAGTTACGTTAATACTATGTAGCACACGCCAACCTGAAAGAGGCTTACTGTGGAATATGGAAAGCCCCTCTATTCCTGCCCCAACAGATTGGACCAACTCACCAAGCGATTTGGGGTCCTACAATTTAAACAGGACCTTGGCTGCCAGTACAAGTCGGAGCAGTTGACGCTTGTGGCACCTTTACTCCAACCAGTCCCAGGAAACAGTGGAATTAATGAGGCCCAGCAGCAATAAATTTGGGAATAATTTTCATGGGTCTCAGGGGGAAAGAGTAAACAGCTGCCTACCCAGTGACACCAAAGCTGTCCAACTGAAACCTCCCTGCACGGCTTTTTCCATTACCCTGGAAGATGATGGCGGCATGAAGCAGCCTTGGTGGTTCTCTGTAGACCACCCATATGATCTCAGGATAAGGCCAGATCCTCGGATTCACGAGGGGTCAACTAATGGGCTCCCCCCCAGTCAAGTGCCGCGGACCCAACTGACAAGTCAAACCGTTGTGCAGAGCAGGGGGATGAAACGGTTTCAGGAGATTTTGGACACAAGGGGAGATCTGCCAAGATTTCCCAACCAGTCCTCCCCACACCCCATCAAAACCAGGACTCAACTTTGAAGGAAAACAGGAACGTTCTTCACAATGTCCTGGCCACCAACTCCACCACAACCAGGTGACATGGCTGGCATCTAGTTGTTGTTGTGGGAGCTTCCTGTGTGCAAATTAACTCCTGTGTTTCCTTCAATACAACTTCAAAACTAGTGCACTTGACTGTAAAGTGCTTTCGGGAATCCTGAGGATGCAAACAGCACAATATGATCGAGAGCTCCATCACACTGCAGATACTAACCAGCAAAACCAGTCACGGTGGCAACAGCCAATAGACTCATTCTGCTCAGGTATTGTTCAATTGTGTCGTCAATCCAATGGTATTCATTCAGCATCAAGAAACTAATCCTCATTCCACCCACAGAACAATTATGTTCAACACTAAAAGACAGCAAGAGCTGCAGGGGCAGGAAAGTCAACGTTTCGGGCTTAGATCCTTCATTGGGGCTGGGAAGGGGGGGAAGGGAGCTGGGAAATAAAGAGAGGGAGGAGGGTGGGGCTGGGGGAAGGTAGGTGGGATGGTGATAGGTGGATGCAGGTAGGGAGTGGTGGGGATTGGTCAGTGGGAAGGGTGGGGCAGATAGGTGGCGAAGGTGACGGAGGGGTTGTGTCAGGTCAAGGAGGAGGGGATGAGGCGGAGGGTTGCATATGGGATGGGATATGCCGGGGGTGGGGAGATTTTGAAACTGGTGAATTCTAGTTTAGGCCATCAGGCCGTAAGCTCCTGAGGCGGAATATGAGGTGTTGGTCCTCCAGTTTGAGGGTAGCGTCATTGTGGCACTGGAGGACGCGCAGGATAGACATGTCACCCCGCAAGCGGGAGGGGGAATTAAAATGGCACGCGACTGGAGGGTGTTGTTGATTATAGCGTACAGAGCGCAGATACTCCACGAAATGGTCTCAGAGCCTCCGCTTGGTCTCACTGATGTAGAGGCCACATCGGGAACAGCGGATACAATAGACCACATTAGCGGATGTGCAGGTGAACCCCTGTTTGATGTGGAAGGTATTTTTGGTTCCTTGGATGGGGGTGAGGGGGGAGGTGTAGGGGCAGGTATAGCACTTCCTGCGGTTGCAAGGAAAGATGCCAGGGGTGGTGGGGAGTGTGGAGCGGACGAGGGAGTTATGGAGAGAGCGGTCCCTACGAAAGGCAGATACGGGTGGGGAGGGAAATATCTCTTTGGTGGTGGGGTCGGATTGCAGATGTTTTTGTTTCATATTTTTGTTGGGGGGAGGGAGACAGAATCTCCCTTGTCCTCACATACCATCCCACCAACCTCCGTATCCAACGTATCATTCTCCGCCACTTCAACCACCTACAATCCGACCCCACCACCAAAGAGATATTCCCCTCCTCACCCCGATCTGCCTTTCGTAGGGACTGCTCACTCTGCAATTCCCTTATCTGCTCCACACACCCCATTAACCTCACCACCCCCGGCATCTTTCCCTTCAACCGCAGGAGGTGCTACGCCTGCCCCTACACCTCCCCCTCACCTCCCATCCCAGGCCCCAAACAATCTTTCCAAATCTGACAGGGAGTCACCTCCAACCTGGTCAATTGTATCCATTGATCCCTTTGTGGTCTCCTCTACATCAGTGAGACCCAAGCACAGATTCGGGGACAGATTTGTGGAGCATCTGCGCTCTGTACGCGATAATCAACAACACTTTCCGATCGTGAACCATTTTAACTCCCCCTCCCACTCCCTGTGGATCCTGTGCCTCCTCCAGTGCCACTATGATGCCACCCACAAACTGGAGGACCAACACCTCATATGTACCTTATATTCCACCTTGGGAGCCTACAGCCCAATGGTCTAAATGTGGAATTTACTAGTTCCAAAATCTCCCCACCCCCGGCCTCATCCCATGTCCAACGCTTCCTCTCATCCCCGCCTCCTCGACCTGTCCATCTCTTTCCCCACCTATCCACCCCATCCTTCCCACTGACCAATCTCTACTATCCTCTACCTGCATCCACCTATCACCATCCCACCTCCCCCTCCCCAGCCCCACCCTCCTCCCTCTATTTATTTCCCAGTTCCCTTCCCCCTCCCCAGTCCTAATGAAGGGTCCAGGCCCGAAATGTCTCCTGCTCCTCTACACTGCCTGACCTCCAGCTCCACACTGTATCATCATATTCAACAGTAATATCAATAATGAAGCATTAACACAATTAATGCTGAGCTAGTGGAAATGATCTTCACAGAGAGCACCAACCAATGACCAGCTGAACCTCTCTGGTGCCACACACTGACCGTGACCCTCCTCAGGCTTTCTCAAACAATACCCAGTGCCATGTTAATCCAGCTCCCCCACACTGTCACTCAGTAACCCCTCTCCCCCAGCACCCTATGTTACTGACTGTATTTCTCCTGATGTTAATCCAGCTCCCCCACACTGTTACTCACTTACCCCTGCCCCTCTGATCCTGTAAGATTTTGGTTATTTGTATTAATCTTGTTCAGATACATCTGTGGATCAGGTGAGCCTGGGCCTCCTAGCTCAGCGGTAGGGTCATGACCACTGCATCACAATAGCCCTCCTGTGAGATACTATGATTAAGTTTATTCCCAACAGAAAAAGCACTATTTGCAGGCAGTCCAAATTGCTTATTCCTTTTTCCCAATCCTCTTGTGTATTCATTCTGTACGTACACACACACACACACACTCACTTGCTCACTCTCACACACACACACACACACACACACACACACACACACCCTCATATATGGAGGAAGGCCTGGGGCAGTCTCATTGTGTTCACGGTCATTTCAGAGACAGAAACACATTCAGAGTGGACAATTCTTTCCTCCCCGTTTCCTCCTTGGACTCCTATGAACCCTTGGCCAACATTTCCATCTCATTGTTGATACAACCCTGTCCTGCTTGGCCACATCACAGTAGTGCGTTTGTCTTCACATGTAGACCAGACTGGATAAAGGGTGACAGATTTCTCCCCAAAGTATACTCAAGGAGCTTTCCCTGGGCTTTCCCTACAGCTCAACACCCCGAAGCCTCTCACTCAATTTTGATTTTAAAATTTTACAGCTACCACTGGCTGGCTTCCCCCAGAAGTTCGGATCTCCAAATTACTCAATCAGCAGCACTGTAGCTATGGTGCCTGTTGCAGACAATACAACAGTAATCTCAGGCAGCTGCTTGAACACTTTCTGAGTGCCAGAACGGTTATTAATAGCAGCAACAGTATAAATCCAGACAGCTGCTACATTCCTCTCCAGTTTCTGCCCTTAGTGGAATGTCCATTGTTGCAGAAATGATCAGAGAGGACAAACTATCGTTAACAACAGAACTCACCCTGATTTTAGGGGTAGAGTGTGTGGGAAAAGAGGCAGAAGAAAGACTGAACAATGAGAAAAGGAGCGAGAGAGAGAAAACACAGAATTGTGACAGACGCAGATTTATACATATGGAAAGAGCAGGACATAGACATAAGATAGAGGCAGGCAGGGCAGAGAAAGTGTAGGAGACTTACAGATGTGCGCAGACACCGACACACCCCGCCCCCCCGCCCCACACACACACACACACACACACACACACACACACACACCTAGGTGGCAAGAATGTGATGGAGGAAGAGATAAATACAAAGGAGAGATTTACAAGACCAAGGTACAGGATAAAAGACAGAGCATGGCAAAGGGTGAAAAGAGATAAAAACCGAAAGAACTGAGGACACTGGAAATCAGAAACAAAAACAGAAATTGTTGGGAAGTCTCAGCAAGTCTGGGAACACGGCTCAGAACCAGCCTAATTGCTTCACATCCAATTCCGAAGCACAGTTACTGTTGCAACATAAATATAAGGGAGATAACTTGTATTGAGCAATACCCCACAAACACTAACATGAAAATGATCGGATAACCCGCATTTTGATGACGTTGGTCAGGGGATACTCATTGACAGGATGTCAGGAAGACTCTCTTGGTTTTTTTAAATATAAAGTCACATATCATGCAGAAGGCAGGCAAGCGACAGCTACACAGACAGAGGCACTGTCCCCAGCCAGGGTGAATGAGGGTTTAACAAGAATACAAAACTGTCATTTGGTTAGTTTTGTGACTTGCATCATCTGCGGATTACACAAAAGACTTTGTCATGAAATAATGGAAGTGGCTGGATTACTACATTGTGTAAGAATAATCAGCTCTTTGTGCTGACTACACAGAGAACGCAATCGCTTCCACCATTTTAACCCAACTTCAGTAAAGTCGGAAGGAATAGAGAAGAATGGGCTAAGAAGCAGAGATCCTGTGGCAGGGAAGCAAGCCATTTATTTCCCCCAGGAAGAATCTCAGTAAAAGGAAAAGGCTGTCTGGGAGTAATAGAGTCGAACAGCATGGAAACAGACCCTTTGGTCCAACCAGACTGTGCCAACCATAATCCCAAACTAAACTAGTCCCACCTGCCTGCGCTTGGCCCATATCCCTCCAAACATTTCTTATTCATAAATTTATCCAGATGTCTTTTAAACATTGTAACTCTACCCACATCCACCACTTCCTCTGGCACTCTCTTAAAAAAAATTGTCCCTCATGTCCTTTTTAAATCGTTTGCCTCTCACATTAAAAAATATGCCCCCGGTCTCGAAATCTCCCACCCTAGAGAAATCAAAATCTGCTATTCACCTTATCCATACACCTCAATAAAGGTCACCCCTGTCCAGTCTTTCCAAAAACTCAAACCCTCCATTCCCGACAACGTTCTGGTAAATCTTTTCTGAACTCTCTCCGGTTTAATAATATCCTTTGTGTAACAGGGAGACCAGAATTGAGGCAAGTAGACACTAACTTCCATTTAAAAGCAAAATACTGGAGCAAAACCCCTGACATTACACTACAATACGAAGGCCCAATGGGAAATAAGAAGGTTTTAAGTTTTCCAGCCTTTTCTCCTTCCATCCCCCTCCACTAAAAGACTCAAAGGGGCATCACGTCCTTAAGGAAGGAAAGGATCCGTCAGGGCAGGAAGCTGAGAATTAGTGAACGCAGCCTAAGTGTCGGACAACAGCAGAGACAACAACCAATTACATTTACATAGCACCCTGAACTCCACAACATTGTCTCAAGGGACAACACGGTATTCACAGCAAAATTCAATCTTGAGACACAACAGCTTGGGCAGAGGCTAGGGTTTAGACCTTTGATAAATACCACGACGTGATCAGCTCATAATTAAGACGTGTGGTCAGATGACAAGCAGGAGAATGGATAGCAAGCAGGCTACACTAGAAAACAGAGAGATCGAGTCAGGGCAAAGGACTTTTAATCTTAATCGATTAGATTTAATTTTAAACACACTAAGACGTTTTCAAAAGCACTTGGCTTAAACTCGTCATTCCAGCCAGTGGAATTCACAAAGATAGGAAGTGAAAGGCCATTGCCTTAAAAGGCGAGGGGGAACGGATGAGTTTAGGAAGGAAATTCCGTAGCTTAGGTCCTCCCACTGCTGAAGGCATGGTCAGTGAAAATCACCAAAAAGGTGAGAAACGGAGGAGTGAAATAGACTCGGAATGTTCTGAGTTTCAGAGATCCGCAGGGATGGAGGTACAGATCTATTTAGGAGCCAGCTATAGGCTGGAATACAAATCTCACGTTCTCAGCTTCCGAGCCTGGCATCTGTCTAAAACTCCAGAAATTCTGAGTCGGTGCCAAGGGTAAGTCTCCTGCAGTCCTGTGTGGATCCCTCTGCGGATTAAGACGCTCAAGTGAGTACACCAGGCCCACTTTAGGACATGAGGTCACCTGGCCCACCATCCTGTTTGCATTTTGTGCCAAAATTGCCACGGCAAAAGTGACGACACTTCAAAGCAATCCATCTGGTGCCCAAGGCATCCCCCAACATGAAAGACACAAAATAAGTTTGCAACTTCTCTCTCTCTTAATTCTGCCTCAGATTCCTGGCTTCGAAGCACAGTTTTAAACAGACTCAGCCCCACTTCATTCTCAACAGCAGACAGAAGCACAGGAACTACGAAGGCCCTTCAGCCCTTGAGGTCTGTTCTAGCTTTCAATCAGATGATCTGTACCATAGCTCCATTATCCTAACCCTTCAATAGCCTCATCGAACAAAAATCAAGCACATGAACTACCCGTCTCACCTCTGCCATTTTCAATAACTTAGCTTCAGATTTTCCGTCAACTTTTGAGTGAAACGAAAAATTAATCCTGGGATCAGGCATGTCCATTCATTTATTGCAAATCCTGCTTCCCGCCAACCCGAATGCATCCCCATGTTTTAAAGTTCCAGCCCCACCAGCCTCCAGAAGAAATTGGGGAGATAGAGAGCAACTATCAAATACTCTACTCCTTTTAAACACCTCGATTATATCACTCGCCAATCTTCGGATCTGTCTGCTCGTACATGTTAACTGCTTACTGAGCATGCTCACACTATTAAGCAGAGTTTTGTAAATTAAAAGTGCTGTACTTTGTTCGATAGTTTATTTCATTATATATCGACTCATCAAAATTGTATCATTAATTGGTATTTGTAACTATTTATAAGAAATATCACTATTAATGCCTTTCAGCCTTAATCTTTTATACTGAAAGAAATACAAAGCTAGTCTTGATGAACCTGACCTCATAATTTAAGGCATTTATGAAGGTAAAGGATTTGTGGATCTCTGGTTCTAGAATTCAGTCAAACACATGCAGAATTGACAGATGAACTATGGTCACTTGGTATGAATGTCTCAAATAAAAAAGATGCTGCCCATTGGGAGATATATAACTGGGAAATAGCAGGGTGTACTATCTACAAAATACAGTGCTGCAACACACTGGGGCATTTTCGACAGCACTTGGCTTAAACTCGTCATTCCAGTCAGCACAAGAACAGGAAGTGAAATGGAGCACCAGCACTTCAAAGTCACACACAATCCTGTCTTAGGAACGCACACTCCTCCTCAACGCTCTGCAATCTCATCCTCCTTTTCCAAACTTCCCCACTCTTTCACACCCATCTGATCTCTGGAACCTCCTGCAGTCCCACAGCTCTGCGAGATCTCGGTTTTTCGCTAACTCTGGCATCTTCAGCGTTGCTGGTTTTAATCACTCCACCTTTGGTGGCCATGTCGTCAGTGGTTTAGTCTATAAACGTTAAATCACCCTCGACTGCTCTATCTCTACTCTTCTGTTAAAATGCTCCTCATAACATACCTCTTTGACCGAGCAATATCTCCTTATGAGGCACATTTTATTCTATAAATGCTTCGTGACACTCCTTGGAATTTTTTCCCCTATTTCCTAGTTGCCCTTGAGAAGGTGAGCTGCCTTCTTGAACACCTGCAGTCCCGGGTGCTGTAGGCAGATCCGCAATGCCATGAGGGAGGGAATTCTGGGATTTGGACAGTGAAGGAACGACGATATATTTCCAAGTCGGGCTGGCGAGTGACCTGGAGGGGAACTCAGAAGGCGGTGGTGTTCCCATGTACATGCTGCCCTTGTCCTTCTAGCTGGAAGTGGTCGTGGACAAAAACAGCAAAGTTGCTAGAAAAGCTCAGCAGGTCTGGCAGCATCCGTGAAGAAAATAATCAGGGTTGACGTTTTGGGTCCAGTGACCATTCCTCAGTGCTCATGGGTTTGGAAGGTGCCAAGGATTTTGGGTGAATTTCTGCAGAGCATCTTATAGATGGTACACACTGCTGCTCTTTGAACATCGGCGATAGGAGGGGCTGGATGTTTATGGATGCGGTGCCTATCAAGTGGGCTGCTTTGTCCTGGATGGTGTCAAGCTTGCTGAGTGTTGTTGGGGCTGCACTCATCCAGGGCAAGTGGGGAGTATTCCATCACACTCCTGGCTTGTGCCTGCACAGGCTTTGGGGAGTCAGGAGACAAGTAAAAGTGCTACCCGAATATAAGTTGTTTGGTCAAAATCTGGTACTCCCACCAGCCAGCATTGCAGGGGTATCTATAGCACACAGACTGCAGCGGTTAAAGAGGCAGCTCACCATCACCTTCTCAAAGGCAACTGGGGAAAATAGAACTGTACAGGCCCTTCGGCCCATGATGTTGTGCCGAACTTTTACCCTGAAAAGCGCAATAAACGCTGGTCTTGCCAGCAACGTAGCATCAACATCCTGAGATCTATTTAAAAAAATAAATCTATACTTATGCGGTGTTTCCCACAAATTCAGGGAGTCCCATAGTTATTCACAGGAGTGCATTTTCAACGTGTGGTCACCCTTGTACATTGAGAGGCTTGGAAACCACCACAACGCGCAAGGCTGAACCTCTCATGAGCGAATTATAGCTCCTCACCCTCAGCGGTGTATCGTCCAGGTTAATATGTTTCAACCACTCCTCAAACGAAGAACGGAGGGGGCTGCCCGAACCGCCCCCGAGTGAGGAAGGCAATTCAGGCCTGGGGCCTGGTGAACGGATGAGGAGACAAATTCAAAGCTGAGCTCACAGCTTTCACAATGAGGAATGACAACAGAATCCCACGCCAATTGAGAAGCAGATGGAGCACTTCCAGCCTCATTAAATGATAAAAGATTCATTTCAGATGTGGAGGGTGTGGGAGGAAGGTGTTTGGAAGAGCTGCACTTGGCTGCAGTCTATCAATTATTAATCAAGTTGCAACGAATTAAAGCCAAACTTCAGTCACAGTTCATATTGCCATCTGCACATTTTCTAAATTGGGCTCAGGGACAGCCCTCTTATAAATGACAGAATATGTGTCCAGGCTGAAAGGTCAGGGCATTGGTGCAATCCGGAAGGTTCTGCGCAGGCCGCTCACCAGGCTGTCTCCTTTATAAACGTACGCCACAGCGAAAAAGAACACGTCTCACTCAGCAACAGGGGAGTTGGCGCTGAAGTGTCGGGGGTGCCATTTAGGAGACTTTAAACTGGGGTCTAGCCTGCTCTAACCAGTAGAAGATCCCACAGCATCATTCGAAGCAGAACAGGAATATCCCCCCTGGTGTCCCGGCCAACGTTTTCCCCCGTACCAAAATCGTGGAAACAGATTATCACATCTGGGATCCTGCTGTGCACAAACTGGTTGCTGCCTTTCTCACCTTACCACAGTGACCAGCCTTTGACAAGTGGTTTATTGGCTGCCTTGCGTTTGGCGTGCCCTGATGTTCTGGGAAGGGTTCCGTACAAACATATGCTTTTTCATTAACCCTCTCCCCACCCCGATACGATGCAACGCTGCATAGTTTGACTTTAAATTTATTAGCAGCACATCTTCAGGCCCCAATCACAGGGGCATGTGCAATGGAAGCAGGAGGGTGCAGAGTCAGTCACTGTCATTCACTCATCACCTTACGACAAGTGAACCATCGATTTATTGACGGTTTCAACAGCTTGCATCAACTAACCTGAACCAACAGGCAACATCCTAATGACCTCCGACCTCCAACTTCTGACACCCTGTGTTCCATTCTCATAGCAACTGCTGACAAATGTTGGAATGACAGGCCAGGAAATGAAATTCGAGCCGGTAATGGCAGGTTGGCCAGCATTAGGGACTGGGACAGAGGCAGAGACAGTGGTGGAAATTCTGATGTTTGTTTTAGAAGAATGGAAGCATATAAAATTATGAAGGGAATAGATAAAATAGAAGCAAGGAGGATGTTTGCGCTGGCTGGTGAAACTAGAACGAGGGGGCACAGCCTCAAAATAAGGGGGAGCAGATTTAGGACTGAGTTGAGGAGGAACTTCTTCACCCAAAGGGTTACGAGTCCGTGGAATTCCCTGCCCAGTGAAGTAGTTGAGGCTACCTCGTCGAATGTTTTTAAAAGCTAAGATAGATCATTTTTTTGAACAGTAAAGGAATTAAGGGTTATGGTGAGAGGGTGGGTGAGTGGAGCTGAGGCCACAAGAAAGATCAGTCATGGATTGAATGGCAGAGTGCGTTCGAAGGGGACAGACAGCCTACTCCTGCTCCTGTTTCTTATGTTTTACAGCTGTTCTAATCGCATCACAAGTCTTCTCAAGTTCTGGAAATATCAGGATGCAGTGTGCATCCCCATGAGCAGGCCGGGTGACGTTCCCAATCTGATAAATCATGGCCAGACTGAGTCAGATTACACTAAAGGCAAGGAGGGAACTGTCTGGAATGTTATATTTGGAAATAATGGGGAAGAAAGGTCAATTACTAAATGGCAGTTCGAACTTTGGAAGCATGAGAAGGAAAAAGACAGCGCAATGGAAAAAGAGAAAGCAAGAGAAAGTTTAAAAGAAAGCGAGAGAAAGTTTAAAAAAAAGCAAGAAAGTTTTTAAAAAAGCGAGAGAGAAAGAAGAGTGCGAGAGAAAGAGAAAAAGAAAAGAAGAAAAAATGGAAAGAAAAAGAGAGAGGGAATTTTCTTATTTTATTCACTCAGCATGACAATGTCCTATCTCTACAGAATGTGACCCTTATCGTGCAGATAGTTATGATGTTAGGATGTGAGTGACGCTGTTACTTTCTTCACACAGCAGCCTGGAGCAGCTCTTCGCTAAGCAAGATGCCACACAGTGAACGAGGGGTGGGGCAAGAGGTTGATTTGTACTTCGAGTCTCGGCTGGAGCGGAAGCTGAGGTTAATGATGTTTCACTCCCCGGTTTCAGTTGCGCCATTAACCAAAGGTCTGTACGTGGGAGCAACAAAAGGTCTCACACCAGGGCAGACAAAGCCACATCTTGTCAGCAGTTGCTGCAGGCCCGAGATATGGCCTGCTCCCCCAACTCCCTACTCCTCCAGCCTTCACAGAAGGAAAAAAGGACCAGCAGCTGATGCCAAAGGCAGGCTTACTGCTCTAGGCTGGGGATTACACCCAGCTGCCCCGTGGCAGATGGACCTTCCCCTCAGACTCTTGACAGCCTTCCTATTGAAAAGCTGTGCCCCATTGACACGTGGCATGTGCCCAGTCCAGTCAAGTTGGGGGATGGTGTGGATCAAGGAGACTGATGTAGAATGCTCGAAGGCACAAAGCACTCTCGCTATCCCAGTGTATAAGAGACTACCCACTAGCCTTGCCCTACGCAGGGAAGGCTGCACTGCCATCTCACTGGCAAGATGCCAATCCTAACTCTTCCTGCAGCAGGATCCCGGGCGGTTATTTTGAAGGACACATGGTCAGTTCGCTCACGGGGGCACAATATTTATCCCTCAACCAACACCTCTAGGAATGGCAATGGTCATCGTGGTGGTGCTGTTTGTGGGACCTTGCTGTGCACGTTTCTCCAGGGTGTTCCCAGCCTTCTCAAAAAAAATGATCTCACCGAACCCCCCAAAAAAATTACTCAATGGGATAGACAGGGTTGGGGATGTGGAACCAGGTGCACAATTTAAAAATAAGGGGGATGCCACATAGGCAGATGGTCTGGTAGTGGTTCATCGGTCTCGAGGTATGATTCTCACTGAGGGTGTTGTACATTGTAGACGTGCGAGAGGTCCTAAGTTCAGATCCCGGTCGAGTCCACATTTCTTAGGGCAGCCCGGTGGCTCAGTGGTTAACACTGCTGCCTCACAGTGCCAGGGACCTGGGTTCGATTCCACCCTCAGGTGACTGTCTGTGTGGAGTTTGCACGTTCTCCCCGTATCTGCGTAGGTTTCCTCCGGGTGCTCTGGTTTCCTCTCACAGCCCACAGATGTGCAGGTTAGGTGAACTGGTAATGTTGAATTGCCCATACTGTCCCGTCTAGATACATTAGCCATGGAAAATGCAGGGTTACAGGGATAGGGTGGTTCTGGCTCGGATGCTCTTCAGAGGGTTGGTGTGGACTCTGTGGGCCGAATGGCCTGCTTCCTCATTGAGGATTCTAGGACTGAAATGAGGAGGTTTCTTTTTTGTAACTCTGAGTTTTGAAGCTTTGGAATTGTCTACTCCAATGATTTGTGGGAACTCAGTCTAGGAGATTGTTAAACATCAGCTTACTAACGGTGTAAAAGCTTGTGTGGATAAGAGACAATGATGTGCTCAATCAGTCCTGATCCTGTTGACTGGGGGGAGAACAAGCTCGATGGGCTGAATAGCGTGCTCCTGTTGCCACATCACAGCAGTAACAAATCTTATAGGAGCCAGAGTGATGTGGGCTACGGCCACATTTGTTAGAGAATGGGTCAGGCCTCTCTCAACCCTG